TCCAAGAGGAAGCAGTGTCTGAAACCTGAAAGGTGAGTAGGACTTGGTCAGATGAAAAGGTTGGGAATGTGTGCTAGGCAGAGGAACTGCCTGGTCACAGACCTGGAGGCAAAGCAGCAACAGCACTGAGTGATGGCTCCAGCGTGGAGTGTTGAGAGAAGTGGCAGGAGCCCAAGTCTGCAGGGACCTGTGGGCTGGATAAGGAGTTTAGACTTTGTCCTAAGACAGCCTCTTTGGTGCTCAGTGAGCTGGCTGGCCTAGAGATCCAGGGCTTTGTTGGGTGCCATATTGAAGTCTGTTTGCCTCGGGTTGGAGATGCATGAGCTGTGACTCCCCCTCTTCCTAGTGCTGAGTTTGTGGGGCCAGGGGTGGCCCAGGTTAAGAGCAGGAGCCTGGAGCATTAGCTAGCCTCCCAGGGTCGGGGTGTCCTTCAGTCAGCTCTCAGCCCCAGGTCAGAGCTGAGGCCCCGTGGCCGCCGGGACCAAGCTGGGCACCCCTTTCCTGGCCTGTGTAACCTTGACTCACAACAGTATTGTCTCTTGGATGGCCACATTGAGTGCCCCAAGCTTGTGAGTGGCCCTGGGCCCCTCAGTGATCATGCATGGCCTGGCCCCATTGCCCTGTGGTGAGGGCTCACTGGACTCCCCCAGCCAATGTCACGCATGCGGTTGGGCTGCTTATGGCACGTGGGGAGCAGTACGTGTTCTGGTTGCTGTCCTTGGAGGGCGTGGTGTCACCACAGCATAGAACACCCAACAGCCTTTTCAGTATTTTCCCTCATGTGTGTGCAGAATACATGTGGTTTCAGCACTGTTTTCTTTACTTATTGCACATTGCTTCTTCGGTAGAGAGAAAGTGTTTCTCACCATAGATGTTCCTGAAAGCCCCAGAGGTCCCTGGCTGTTGAGATCAGATGCCGGCTGTGTCTTCTGCCCAGGGCTGTCTGTGGTGTGGTCAGGGACTGGTTGCAGCAGCGAGGCTCCCGGAGGAAGGGAAGAGTGAATAGAGCCTTGACAGTCAGACTGATAAGAGTGGGTGTGAGTGTCTGGGGCCCCATAATGTCTGTGGGTTTCCTTTTGCAGTGTTTCTGCATCCGTTGTCAGAGGCCCTGCAGCTGGTCCCAAGGATGAGCTGCCTGCAGGAGTTCCTCATTACACCCTCTTCCCTGCAACTTCAGGGAGTTGACCCATCTGTTGGGAGCCTTCGGAAAGGACGGCTTGCTTCCTGTTCCTCATTGTGAGGAACACCAGGCAGACTTCCACCTGAGGGGCAGAGGAGGAGGGCTGGGGCAGAAGAAATGGGAGGAAGTGGCTCAGTCCTGGCCAGACTCGCAGGCTGTGAGGTATGAGTGGCATATGAGAGCTGGCAGCCCCACCTGCAGCCACCAGAACTGAGGCAGGGGTGGGCTTGCAGGGGCTGGAGGGTCCAGGTCTGGAGAATGAGGCGGAAGTGACCAGTGCAGTCTCAGGCCTCCCTGCCAGTGGACCTCCCACACCTGCTGGCGCCTCTGTGAGGCAGCCCCCCTTCCCTTCCCTCCCTTTCTGTAGGTCTGAGGGTCTCAGCTGTACTGGTGCAGAATAGGAGAGGGTTACCTGCCTACAGTTCAGGTGCGGGGAAGGGGCTTCCCTAGCGCCAGTGAGGAGGGAGATCCGTGTTGGGAAAATCCTTGCTCTGAGACTGTGGAGAGTATGCTGTGGGAGGGAGGTGTGCAGAAAGGGCCTGGTGTCTTAGCAGCATGTCTTAGGGACAGGGAATCAGAGCTTGGTCTTGGAGTCAGAGGACCTAAATTCAAGCCCTGGCTCTGCAACGTAGTTACCGTGTGACCACTGGCAATTTTTTCAGCCCTTTAGAGCTTGTCTAGCTCACCTGTAAAATGGAGGTTAAAATAACACTGCTTCATGCTTTGGCTTCATGCTGCTTTATAAAGCTGTTGTGGGAATTAAACATGCACACACACACACACACAAAACATGCACAGAGTACTTAGGATCTGCCTGGCACAGGTGCATTGTTGTTGTTGTTATTATTACAACTACTGGCTGTTACTACTACTGCTACATACCCTACTACATACCCTGCTGCCTTGGTGTGTCCCCTCCCCTCCTACCTCCCAGGCCTCTTCCACTCTTCCCCTGCCCCCGCCCCCCCAACAGCCCAGATAATGACCTTTCTTCTTCAAGGGTCCCAGGTCCGGGTGTCTGTGCACTTAGCATTGTTAGCAGCCTTCCAATGGGGATGACAGGGAGGCCTCTGCAGAAACTTCAGCCTCCCCAGAACTGGCCCCCTTGATTTCTTCTAAAGAAGTCCCTGGCCCAGCTCTGGAAACCTACTGTGGTGTCAGGAGTGAAGGCCCCCCTCGATGTGTAGGGTGGGGGGTGGGAGGCAGAGCAGGCCTGACCAAGCAGCTGCAGGCCAGCCAGCGTTGACTGGGGCAGGAGCAGCCCTGCCTTGGATTTCCTTTCACAGACTCCGCCCCCATCTCCCCAGCCCCAAGTGTGCAGTCGCCCTCCCCTAGGCGCTGAGCGGCCATCCCCGAGCCTGGTACCCTCCATCAGGCACGCACGCGCACGTGCACTCGGGCCCATCTGCCACGTGTGCCTTCCCTTCCTCCAAGCCCCAAGCCTGTGCTGTGGCTCACCAGGCAACAGGGTTGCGATGGGGGGTGGGGTGGGGGTGCCTGTACTGCCGGGGGAGGGGAGGCTCCCAGTTCCCTGGAGGCACGTGGACCTGCCAACTCCTCCCCCCACCCCCCAGCACGTTCTTCCTTCCTCTGTCTTGCTTCTGCAGACACACACGTACTTGTAGTTGGTTCATTCTGATTGGAGAGGCAGAGCCGGACTCCTATAGCCGGGACGGCCCCACCCTGCAGCTTCACGATGGCGCCCAGGGTTGTTTTCAGTCTGGGGGCTGGCTTTTGGGTCTCTGCTCTGTGTTGGGTTGGCTGTCAGGGAATGAGAGTTTAAAAGCAAGAGAAAGCGGTTTGTTCAGAAGGCGGTTTCTGTGGCCTCAGCACTCGCTACTTGTCCGAATCCTCCCGCGGTGGCGGGGCCTGGGTGACTTGGATGCCCTACTAGTCTCCCCCTCCCCCAGCTTCCCTATGCGAGACAAAGGGGGTGCGAGCACGGAGACTCGCTCTCACAGCAGGGCCGGGAGCTGAGGAAGGAAATGGAGGAGGAAGTTCCTCCCCTTCTGGGTGCTGGGTGAAAGTGAAAGGCAGCGGGGGGTTGGAGTGAGTCAAGGCAGCCGCGGGAGGGGAAGGGCTGGGGAGCTGCGGAAGCGTGCGGAGGCGCGATAGCACGGCCGCCTCCCTGGGGCCAGGGGCATCGCCGGGTGTAGCCAGGGCTTCGTACCAGAGCCTGCCCGGCATGCCCAGCCAGCCCTCCTCTGCGCCTCTCGGCTGGTTTCCTGGGAACTCCCGGGGCTGCTAACGATGACCTGGGGCATCTAGGTTCTGACGTCTGAGGTCAGCCTGGACCTTCAGATTTAGTCGCGGGGGCTTCCTGAGCTCTCCTCTGCTAGACGGACTGGCTCAGGATCAGAATCTTAGCATGGGGAAGAGGTGGGCCATGTAGCTCCCACCCTCACCAACTTCCCAGAGAGGCAAACAAAACAAAAGACAAAACCAACCCTCTCTGAAGAAAGAAAAAGTCTTTGAAAATACACGCAAGGTATAGGTGTGAGTTATAACTTGCATGTAAGTAATAAAAACACATGTAAATTATAAAATACTGGTCTCAGTTCCTCTGTAGCAGGATAAATAGAGCAACCTTTTTTTTTTTTTTTCTAAATCAAGTTAGAAAACAAACACAGGAACACTGTGAGCCCTTTAGTCACACCATGTCATGGAGAAACCTTCTGGACTTTTAAGTTCTAGAAATCTGCAACTCCTCAGTATTGTAGCTATATTCTTCCTTTGCTCAAGATGCCGGGAGCTCTTTGGCAGTGGAGGAGGGTGGGTGGGGACTGCTGACCAGCTACCAGGCCAGATCCTGTCTCCAGTCAGCCCAGGTTGCAAAACAGGTTTCCATTCCATGCTGGGTTGGGGAACACAGGCAGCCACAGTTCCACCCAGCAGCTCCTCCCGGGGGTGGGGTTAGGACTGCACACACCCTTCTGGGGCCTCACCTACGTGCCTCAGTGTAAAGGACGTGGACCCAGGACTCTGCAAGGGCCTGGTGGACCTCCCGACCCATGGGCTGCACAGTTGGGAATGACTAATGTTTTCTCCATTTCCTGTCTGAGAGGTGTATGGAGTGTCGGAGGAGGCATTGGCTGAAAACACTCCTGCGGGGTCTACTGGGGAGGCCACTGCCTGGACAGATGTGAGAGGACCTGCTTGGCTGCCCAGGAGGCTGGGGCCTGGCTTCAGACAAGTAGGGAACCCAGCATGGCCTTTGTTACCCCTTATTCCAGCTTGACTGCAGGGGCTCAGGCTGGATCTCAGTCCCACTTGCCCCCTTGGCAGGTGCTTTTGTGCATTGCGCAAGTTACACAACCAAACGCAGCAGTCCTGGACACTAACCAGGAGGGTGAGGTGGTGGGACAAGGGAGAGTCCCAGAGCACCCTGGGGGATGTTGCCGCCTTCTGGTAGCTCCCCCAAGGTCCTGGCTCCTGCCTCACCAATGCTGCTCTGTGACCTTGGGCTTGTCCCCAGGAGGTAGTGGAACTGTAGGACCCTTGAGACCCTCCCCTCACACTTGTGCTGCCCTCTGGGGCATCCTGGGAGGCTGTGGCTGACACTATTACTGCTCTTCTGTCTGCAGGCTCCAGGGCCCTGTGGAGCATCATGAACTGGGAACAGTAGAGGAGCCTGAGAGCCTCTCTGCAAAAAGGAAGGAAGCGCCAGCAGTTCTTTCTCCCCGTGCCTGACCGCATCATCCAGCGTCTCCTCTGCCCCCTCTGGCTGCTGGACTACGGCCAAGCTTCCAGCAGGACCATCCCCCAGGGGATGGGCAACTGGTGAAGTAGGTCTCACTGCCGGGGCCCAGTTGGCCACACCATGAACCTCCAGGCCCAGCCCAAGGCTCAGAACAGGCGGAAGCGTTGCCTCTTTGGGGACCAGGAACCAGCTGCCAAGGAGCAGCTCCAATCCCTGCAAGCACCACAGCAGCCCCCGGCCCCTCCACCGTCCAGAGTGAAGGAGGAGCCTTACTTTGCGCACGAGGGTCCAGCAGGGGCTGCCCCCGCCTCCCTCCCTTGCTTTCCGTTGCGCTTCCACCACCTGTGGACACGTCCCTATATGTTTCTCCTTCTCGCAGGCTGGGCTGCACCGTCTCTGAGAACTAGTGTGTGTCCCAGCCCTAACCTCTTCCCCGTGGCTTCCCCGTATCACAGAGGTTCTCGCTGGTACCCTGAGGCTGGCAAGCGGGGGCCCTGGCTCCAACTTCCCAGAAGGAGGTGGTCCTGGCACAGACCCTGTTACAGACTTGCACACATGGACGGACCAAGTCACTGAACTCCGTGGTGTATGGGTCTGAGCGAACCATGTTGTCTCAGCAGGTGGGCTCGGTCAAGTGGCCCAACTCTGTGATGGCTCCAGGGCGGGGCCCGGAGCGTGGAGGGGTTGGGGGTGTCAGTGACAGCGGCTGGCAGCAGCAGCCGGGCCAGCCTCCGCCCCACTCGACATGGAATCGCCACAGCCTGCCCCTTTACAGTGGACCCAAGGGAAGCCCTCATCCTGGCATGGGGGTCTCCACCTACTATAACCACCCTGAGCCACTGAAGCGGGAGAAAGCAGGGGGGCCACAGCTGGACCGCTTTGGGAACGCTGTGCGGCCAATGGTGCCGCAGAAGGTGCAGCTGGAGGTTGGGCGGCCCCAGGCACCCCTGAACTCTTTCCATGTGGCCAAGAAGCCGCCGAACCAGACGCTGCCCCTGCAGCCCTTCCAGCTGGCGTTCGGCCACCAGGTGAACCGACAGGTCTTCCGGCAGGGCCCATCGCCGCCCAACCCCGTCGCCGCCTTCCCACCGCAGAAGCAGCAGCAGCAGCAGCAGCAGCAAGCGGCCCTTCCCCAGATGCAGCTCTTTGAGAACTTCTACCCCATGCAGCAGCCACCCTCTCAGCAGCCCCAGGACTTTGGCCTGCAGCCGGCCGGACCACTGAGTCAGTCCCACCTGGCTCACCACAGCCTGGCACCCTACCCCTTCCCCCCAAACCCTGACATGAACCCAGAACTGCGCAAGGCCCTCCTGCAGGAGTCAGCCCCGCAGCCTGTGCTACCTCAGGCCCAGATCGCCTTTCCCCGCCGTTCCCGCCGCCTCTCTAAGGAGGGCGTCCTGCCTTCCACCACCCTGGATGGGGCCGGCACCCAACCTGGGCAGGATCCCGCCAGCAACCTGTTCCTGCACCACTGGCCCCTGCAGCAGCCACCACCCGGCCCCCTGGGGCAGCCCCATCCTGAAGCTCTGGGATTCCCACTGGAGCTGAGGGAGTCGCAGTTGCTGTCGGACGGGGAGAGACTGGCACCCAATGGCCGGGAGCGGGAGGCTCCCGCCATGGGCAGCGAGGAGGGCACGCGGGCTGTGGGCACAGGGGACTGTGGGCAGGTGCTACGGGGTGGGGTGATCCAGAGCACTCGACGGAGGCGCCGGGCGTCCCAGGAGGCCAATTTGCTGACCCTGGCCCAGAAGGCAGTGGAGCTGGCTTCACTGCAGAACACAAAGGTGAGAGTGGCATGGGCTGGGCACAGACCTGGCGGAGGGCAGGGCGAGCTGTGTCTGGGGCCAGGGGAGAGCAAGTGACTCCAGGGTCACAAGGGCAGTTTTCTCCCTTCATTGAAGGAAATGAAAGAACCCATCCATTTCAGGGAGTTCTGAACTCTGCATGCAAAGAATCTCTAAGTAGGTGTATCCATACCTGAAGGGTAGATGGGTTTTATACACATACAGGGTTGCAGGCAGGAAAATGCAATACACCATCGTGGGTTGCCGTCTTCCTTTGGGACTTGCAGGGTTGGAAGTAGAGGGAGGTGAAACCATTTCCAGATCCAGGATGCTAAAAGACAAGAATGTGGTAGTGGTTACACAGGTGGTTATACTTGTCAAAATGCATCAAACTATAATTAAAAATAGGTGCATTCTGTTGCATTTAAATTATACAGCAGTAAAGCTGATTGGAAAGAAAAGACAATCTAAATGGGGAAGAAGAATGAATAGAATTTGAGCACCTATGTTGTACCTGGAGTTTCTTATCTTTGATCACAAGTAATTTCTCATCAAACCCTATGAGAGGGATGCTGGCATTTATCCCATTTTATTGCTAAAGAAGCTAAGGCCCAAGTGGGATTTCCCAAGGTCACAAATGTAGGACAGAAGCTAGTATCTGACTCCAAAGCCAGTGTTTGCCCCTTCCCTCACTGGAGGTCTCAACCCTCGAAGCCTATAGGGCCAGACCTATGTGTAGGAGGCTGCAGAGCTTGACTTCACTCCAGCCAGTTGCCAGTGGGGAAATAGATCCAAAGACCACCCTTACCTTGCCACAGGTTCCTTGCTTGCTTTCTTTTGCAGAGATATGTTTTGAATATATAGATACTATTTCACATGCCATGCACCGTGTAGACCAAACAAAACACATATCGATTAGCCACTTTTGGCCTGAGTTGGCCATCTGGGGATTCCTGCTCCAGGCCAGGATGGGAGAACCTGGCAGAAGGGAGGTTATGGAGAGTATTGGGGAATATGGTGGGGGAAAAGGTGGTCAGGGAAAGGCCAGGTTGCCAAAGACCATTGGGAACCATCATGGGTGTCTTTGAGTCCCTGAATCAAATGGGATTAGGGGTCCCGGACCAGCAGATCAGGACTTACCTTCTAACCGTCTCCATTTCCTCTCTCTCTCCTTCTCCAGGATGCCAGTGGCTCTGAGGAGAAGCGGAAAAGTGTATTGGCTTCAACTACCAAGTGTGGGGTGGAGTTTTCTGAGCCTTCCTTAGCTGCCAAGCGAGCACGAGAGGACAGCGGGATGGTACCCCTCATAATCCCAGTGTCTGTGCCTGTGCGGGCTGTGGACCCAACTGAGGCAGCCCAAGCTGGAGGTGTTGACGAGGATGGAAAGGGTCCTGAACAGAACCCCACTGAACACAAGCCGTCGGTCATCGTCACCCGCAGGCGGTCCACCCGTATCCCTGGGACTGACGCCCCAGCTCAGGTATGAGAGGTGCCCCATGCAAGCAGCTCAGTACCTGAGTGCTCCTGGTGACCTAATATTATATGGGAAAAAAGAGAACATGGCAGTATAGGTGGGATTCAAGTCACGCATGGGGATATTATATTTTCCAAACAAAACTTTTGGACAAATGAACTTATGAGGGACAAAGAGACAATTTTATACTTGAAATTTGGACTGTTTAGGAAAATCCAGAATGTGTGAATCTCTTTTATTTCAGGTCAGCAAATTTTGATTTGGCCTCTAATATGGGTCGGGCCTTGTGCTAGGTACTGGGATATAGAAATGTTTGCTTGTTCTGTCAGTATAAACATGTATGTTGTACTCTCCCACTAAGACTGAGGTTTTGTCTATTTCTTCTTAGTTCTGTCAGTATTAGTTTTATGCATTTTGATGCAATGTTAATTGCATAGCTATTTAGAACTGGATTAGACACTTTATCATGAAATGTTTTTTTATTTTTAGTAATCTTTTTGCCTTTTAAAGTCTACTTTGTCAGATATTTCTCTTTCCATTAGTGTGGGTGGGAGGAGGATGGGATGTGTATCTTTTCCATCTTTTTACTTTCATCCTTTCTGTATCCTTCTACTTAAGGTGTATCTTTCAACTGGATTTATAATTGGGGTTTGTTATCATCTGTTCTAACAACCTTTGTCTTTTCGTTAGAGCATTGATACGGTTTACATTTAATGTAATTACTGATAAACTTTGGTTTAAATCTGCCATCCACTTATCCCATCCTGCCTTTTCTTTCTTCCTTTTTTTTCCCCTCTTTTTTTGTTTTCCTTTGGATTGATTGGGTTTGTTATTCCATTTCCCCTCTTTATTAATTTATTAATTATATACTTATGTATTACTCCTTTAGTGATTACCATAGCAGCTTTTATTACCTGGATTTCTATTAGAGAATTAAACCCTACAGAAGGGTATTTGAGTGACCATTTTCTCAGTGATCTGGAGGATGGTACATAGTACCATTCTAGATGTGTAGGAGAGATGTCAACTTATTACATAGTGAATGCCTTATGACATTAAAGCTTAATCCTCTGGTTGAGAAGCGTTCCTAGAGATTAAAATACATTCTTAGCTTATTGAAATCTAATATAAGTTAGTGCTTTGCCTCTTCTTGGACAATGCAGAGTTCTTATAACCCTTTAACTCCATTTTCCCCTAACCCCTAACTTGTAGAATTATTGACATGACTTCATTCTCCCTATATTTTAACATTGATAGGACATTATAACATTATGGTTTTGTTCAGTTGTTGTTCATTTTAGATTTATTCAAATACTTAAGAGTGTTTTGTTGCTTTTTATTTCTTCTCATATCTCCAAGCTTCCATCTCAGTTCATTTATATGCTCTTTGAAGAACATCCCTTAGTATTTCCTTTAGTTCCTTTAGTGTGAGTCTGTTAGTGATAAATTTTATTAGTCTTTGATTGTCTGAAAATGTTTTTATTTCATCTTCATTTTTGAAGGATAACTTTGCTGGGTAGAGAATTCTGTGTTGGTAGTTTTTTTTTTTTTTCTTGGCACTTTAAAGATGTCATTCCATTGTTTTCAGGCTGAGAAATCACTATAATCCATATTGTTGCTCCTTTGAATGTAAGGTATCTTTTTATCTTGTTTTCAAGTTTTTTTTTTTTTTGTCATTGGTTTTCAGCAGTTTTGCTGTGAAACCTAAGTATTGATCTCTTTGTATTTATCCTGTTTAGAGTGCATCTGCTCCATTTTCTGTCTCCTCTCCTGGGACTCCAGTTACACGTTTTGTTAGCGCTTTTCACTGTATCCCCTATTTTGTGTGTCATGCACTTTTCTGTGTTTTCCATTTCTTTTTTGCAGTATGCGGGCCTCTCACTGTTGTGGCCTCTCCCGTTGCGGAGCGCAGGCTCCGGACACACAGGCTCAGCGGCCATGGCTCACAGGCCCAGCCGCTCCGCGGCATGTGGGATCCTCCCAGACCGGGTCACGAACCCGTGTCCCCTGCATCAGCAGGCGGACTCTCAACCACTGCGCCACCAGGGAAGCCCCATTTCTTTTTTTTTTAAGTCTGACCTATCTTTCAGTTCACCAGCTCTCTCTTTAGCTGTGTCTAACATGTTGTTAAGCCCATTCATTGAATTCTTGTCTTCAGTTATTTTATTTTTCAGTAACCTGAATTTTCATTTGGTTCATTTTTAGAGTTTCTAGTTCTTTGATGAGATTCTCAACCTTGGCTTTTATTTTATTGCATAACTTAAGCATAGTTTTCTTTTCTTTTCTTTTTTTTTCCTTTTTTGGCTACACCGCATGACCTGTGGGATCTTAGTTCCCCAACCAGGGATTGAACATGGGCCCCAGCAGTGAAAGCGCCAAGTTCCAACCACTGGACCAGCAGGGAATTCCCAAGCATAGTCTTCTTAAAGTTTATGTCTCATAGCTCTGTTAATGGGATCCCTGTGGGTCTGTGTTTATTATCTGCTATTTCTTGTTTTTAAATCACATCTTACTCTTTTGTATATCTGGCTATTTTTTATTGAATGTCAGACATTATATATGAAAAATTGTTGAGGTAATTAAAGACTCTGGATGCTGTTCTCTACTGGAGAGGATTTGTCTCTGCATCTGACAGGTAGCAAAGAGCACAAGCAATCCTGGATTACTTTAACTTAATCAGATGATTTGAAGCTGGGCATTATTCCATTTGAGAACTAATCTATATCTGATTCACCTTTATTCTGAGGATATAGCCCTTTGGAGTCCCAATCCAAAGCCTAGGGGTTCACCAGGCTCTCCTTCCTTGGCAAGCTCTAAACTCCAGTTTTTATTCTGCTGGTTCCTTGAATTTATTAAAAGCTTTACTCAGTTTCTCAGCCTTTCCATTGTCTCTTCCATAACAGCATCTATCTCTAGGGAAAACACAATTCTAAATGCTGGGCTCACCTTTTTGGCTTTCCTTCTTTTTTCCTGGATCTTGGCTCTTTAATTCTTTGCCAACTAATTTGTTCTCTGGTACCTGCAGAAATGTGGTTTTGTATAGCATCTAGATTTTATTAGTCATTCGCAACTGGAGAGTTGGCCTGCATGCCTGTTGTCTATAACAGAAAGGAGAGCTTCAAGATCATCATGAGTAGCACAGTCTCCGCTCTCTGGAATCTTGTTCTCTGGCTGGGAGAGAGTTTGTGGTGGAGGCTAGAGGCTTGGGCAGCTTGTCCTGAGGATGGCAGGAAGGAGCCTGAGCAACTACACAGCTCAACATACCCATTTCATAGATGAGGAAATAGGTCCAGAAAAGACCAGAGGCTTACCTAAGATCATACAGCCAAGTAGTGGCAGAGCTAGCCCTGGAATTTGGATCTCTTGAATCCTGCCTGAGGACTCTCACTATACCAGGCTTTTTGGGAGGTCTGTCTCTTTCTATCTGTCTCTCTCTTTGTGTTACAGACATTTTCAATCATGCACAGAAGTAGAGAAAATGGTATAATGAGTCCTAATATTTAGCCATCACCCTCTTTTACAGTTTTCAAAATACAACCAATCTTCTTTCATTTGTACCTCTACTTCTCCCTGCCACTGGATTTTTTTTTTGAAGCAAATCCCAAACATCACATCATTCCATCCATAAATACTTTGGTTTTGTACCTGAAATACACCATACATAAGGATTCTTTCCCTCCCTTCCTTCCTCCCTCCCTTCCTTCCTTCTTTCCTCCCTTCCTTACTTCCTTCCTTCCCTCCTTCCTTCCTTCCTTCCTTCCTTCTTTCCTCCCTTCCTTCCTCCCTTCCTTCCTTCCTTCCTCCCTTCCTTCCTTCTTTCCTCCCTTCCTTCCTCCCTCCCTTCCTTCCTTCTTTCCCTCCCTCCCTCCCTCCCTTCCTTCCTTCCTTCCTTCCCACGTCATCACACATAAAAAATCAATATGAGGGCTTCCCTGGTGGCGCAGTGGTTAAGAATCTGCCTGCCAATGCAGGGGACACGGGTTCGAGCCCTGGTCCAGGAAGATCCCACATGCTGCGGAGCAGCTAAGCCCGTGCGCCACAACTACCAAGCCTGCGCTCTAGAGCCCGCAAGCCACAACTATTGGAGCCCACACTAGTAGAGCCCGTGCTCCACAAGAGAAGCCACTGCATTGAGAAGCCCCTGCACTGCAACAAAGAGTAGCCCCCGCTCGCCACAACTAGAGAAAGCCCGTGCGCAGAAACGAAGACCCAACACAGCCAAAATAAATAAACACAAAATCAATATGAAAAATATTGTCAAATATTTAGAATAGTTTAAATCCATTTTCCCTATAAAATCACAAATCATTACAGCTAGCTTGAGTTCATGTTGGATTTCTTGTCTAGAAGTTTGGGGGCCTTTGGCGCCACTGCATTTTTTTCTGTGCAATCATATGGTTCCCCGTAGGGGGAGAGAATGAGCAATGTCATTTCTTCCTAGTCTATAGAAGACCAGAGAGGGCACAGATGGCTAAAAGACATGGCCAAGGCTTCCTGGGGGACTCAGGGCCCTCTGCTGGAAGGTCTTGTGGGAGCTGGAACCTGGGGGGGGAGAAAGCCTGTTGTTCCTGGGCCCAGTCAGTGTGGCCAGTCTCACCTGTGCACCCAGGGAGATGATTGATGTCACTCACTTGTATAGGGCTCCATTCTCTCTTGAGAGGATAGGGATGCAGCAAGGAAAGGCCTCTATTCCTGTACAGCCCTGCCCTCTATTCTGTATGGAGGCCCACAAGGCATACCAAGCAGGGAGAAGTGTAAGCCAGGAGGGCTAACCTTTGACAGCAAAAGTAGGACTGATACTATGAGAATAAAAGTTCTTCAAGGACAGGGCTGTCCTGTTCACTCTGTGGTCCCATGCCTAGCTTGGGTCTTGGCACGTGATATGGGCCTCCATCTAATGCAGAGCTTGGAGTTTAAGTAGTGATAGTAGTCAGTATTGATTGAGTAATTACTCTGTACCAGGTACTGTTCTCAGTGATTTCCATGTATTAATTTATTTAGTCCTCATAGCTACCCCATTAGGTAGGCATTTGTTATTCCCATGTTAAAAATGATAATGCACACAGAGTTAAGTATTTTAAGTGGTAATTAAAGGAAGTAGATCCCAGTCCAAGCAATCCAGTTCCAGGGCCTGGCCCTTAACTACAATAGTTCCCTGCCCTGTAGCATACTTTATAGCAGGGGTTGGCAACTATGACCTGTGAACCAAATCCAGCCCTAAGACTATTTTTTACGCTTTTCAAAGGATTATTTTAAAAGGGCAGGGGGTAGGGTCAGGAGAAGAAGAAGAATATGCACCGAAGAATATGTGTGTGGCCTACAAAGCCTAAAATATATACTATCTGGCCCTTGACATAGACAGTGTGCTGACCCCTTACCTAGAGGAGACAGTAAGAAGGGCTTTAGGATCTGCTTCCTGTCTCAGGCTTGCCTTAGTGGGTGTGGTGGGCAGACTAAGTTCCAAAGGTGAAACTGGCAAGCAGTGGTCAAGACTTCAGTTTTTATGGGGCTTCCCTGGTGGCGCAGTGGTTGAGAGTCTGCCGGCCGACGCAGGGGACACGGGTTCGTGCCCTGGTCCGAGAGGATCCCACGTGCCGCGGAGCGGCTGGGCCCGTGAGCCATGGCCGCTGAGCCTGCGCGTCCGGAGCCTGTGCTCCACAACGGGAGAGGCCACAACAGCGAGAGGCCCGCGTACTGCAAAAAAAAAAAAAAAAAAAAAAAGACTTCAGTTTTTCCCAGGATGTAGGTGGCTGAGCCATCTTGGCCTGTTTCCTTCTCCAGGCTGAGGACATGAACATCAAGTTGGAGGGGGAACCTTCAGTGCGGAAACCAAAGCAGCGGCCGAGGCCTGAACCTCTGATCATCCCCACCAAGGCGGGCACTTTCATCGCCCCTCCCGTCTACTCCAACATCACCCCGTACCAGAGCCACCTGCGCTCCCCTGTCCGCCTAGCTGACCACCCCTCCGAGCGGAGCTTTGAGCTGCCCCCCTATACACCACCCCCCATCCTCAGCCCCGTGCGGGAAGGCTCCGGACTCTATTTCAATGCCATCATGTCGACCAGCAGCATCCCAGCCCCTCCTCCCATCACGCCAAAGAGTGCCCATCGCACCCTGCTCCGGTCTAGTGAGTGATCCCCCCTCGGCAGCCGTGAGGGCAGGCATTGTGGGATGGCGGTGGGTAGGGAAGACAGCTTCTGGCACTGCCGGCTTTCGGCCGGAATGCTGTGGGAAATGGGGCTCTACTGTCTCCTTTGAGAGAGAGAAGGAGGTTGTCCTGGCTCAAGTACACGCTGTGGTTGGGGAGAGGAGGTGTCAGCCCAACTGCTTGGACTTAAATCCCAATTCCACAATTTACTGTTCCGTCCCCTGTGGAAGTGATTTAAACTCCCTGGGTCTCTGTTTCTTCAGCATGTAAATGAGGATGTTAGTAGTGTTTGGTTAATGATGAAATTGCCAATATGTATTCAGCTATTTTTAGAACCACAAACAGCAGTTTCCTATGGTTCAACCTAATAGCTACCTCAGAAGGTTGTGGTGAGGTCCAGATGCATTAACACACGTAAAGCACTTTACACTGTGCCTGGCGTGTCACATTTGTTCTTATTATTAGGTGGCAGATCCTGTCTCCTGGGTCTCTCGAACAGTCATTTTGGCCCAGAGCAGACATTTTAGCTGGCCTGGGTGGTGAATTGCTGAAAAATGTTGCCCACTCCACACAAGAATTCATTTCCCCTGAAAAATGGGATAATCCTATCTCAGGGTGATAGAGAAGATTGAGAGTAACACAGGGGTGAGGCAGTGCGGTTAACCTCTGACCCTGACCTCATCGTGGCATGCCTCTCTGGTGTCTGGGTGAGAAATGGCTCACCCTGGGCTGGCTGGCCTTTGGCTCTTCCATTTCTACTGGAAGCTTGGAAGCCTCTCTCCCTGCCTGGGTTGTGCAGGAAGAAGTCGCTGTAGGGACCAGCTTGGCGGCAAAGAAGAGGTCTGTCCATCCATGAGGATTTTTCTTGCACTCAGGTGTAAAGCCTGAACTGGGTCCTGTGAGGGCACTAGTAATGTGTGGGACACCGTGGTCTGTTCTAAAGAGAGTGCTGGGTCATTAGGGCGTTGACTTGAAAGCCTGGGAGACAGGAAAGCAGAAGTTTCAGGCAGAGTGGGATCAGCAGTCAGTGAGTGAAGCCTGCAGAGGCTGCTAGCCCTAGTGGTGAGGAAAGCATTTATCGAAGAGAGGGTGGGGTTATAGCTGAGCTTGACCTAGGAAGCAGGTGGGGAGGGCACACTAGGCAGAAGAAAGGAGAGGTGCAAAGGCCCAGAGGTGGGACTGTGCAGGGAGCACGAGGGGCCATGAGGGAGCGGCATGCGAAGATGGACGGTCCAGGCAAGGCGGTGGCGGGATGCATAGCTGGCAGGGGAACCGCCTTGAACACTGAGCTGAGGAGTTGAAGTTTTCTCTCAGGTTGCAGAGAGGAGCCAGCAGATTTTGCTTTTGGAGCAAGAGAGTGTCTTGATCACACAGGGCGTTAAGATTAGCTCGGGAGAAACCAAGGCAGAGAACCCAGCAAGGAAGTGACAAGATAATTATGAAACAGTGATCTTCACCACCTCGTTTGTGTGGCGCAAGTTTCAGCCTCTTTACTAGAGCAACCATAGTTGAGTGCTGGACTTAATGCTGTACTGTGGGCGCTCCTGGGGCAGAACATGGCTCTAGTAGTGGAACTGGTGGCAGTAGTAATAAGAGTAGCTAATATTTATCGAGGGCTCAGCTTTCGTGCATGATTTCATTCAATCCTCACATCAACCTAGGGAGATAGGTAGCAACAGCCCCTTTCAGCAGGCGTGAAAATGGAGGCACCCACATATTTGGTAAAGTCGCAGCTAGTTGTCACAATTGCAGGCTGCAGAGCCAGGACTCAGGGTGCCTGATTTCCCAGCGTGAACCTCTGAGCCACTGCTGTGGCTCTTGTGCATAAAGAGCAGCCACCTAGGGTTGGAGAGGGTGGCTTTGCTGAAGCGCAGAGGGCGCCATTTACTAACCTACCTTTTGTCCCATAGATAGCACTGAAGTCACCCCGCCTGTCCTCTCTGTGATGGGGGAGGCCACCCCAGTGAGCATCGAGCCGTAAGTTCAGCCCAGCCTCTGGCTCAGGGGGTGAGGGTGGCCAGCTGGAGTCCGGTGCATGCAGGTGGGCCCTACGAGGAAGAGGAGGCTTCTGCGGGCTGGGGGCTGAGTAGACCTCTCTGGGCTTCTGCACTTAGCCCTGGGCTTCACTGATCCCCACCCCAGCTTCTGTGTGGAAGTCACAGGGAAGGAAAGGACCAGCTCAGTTTGAATTTGCCTCTGAGGAACATTAGAAGGCAGTTCAAGAGACTCTTTCCCTGTCTGTAAACCTGGAGCTTCTCCCCTTTCCAACCTCTGGGCCTTGCCTTTCTGGCAGCACCAGGTGCCACTTGCCAGGCTGTCCTCATAGAAGCCAGGTTCCCTTACACCCAGCTGAAGCCTTGCTGCGCTCAGCCCCTGCCAGCTACCCCCGCATCGTCTCCATCCTCAGGGAGGAAGTAGGGTTCCCCATCCCCACAGAGTGGAGCCTCACTCCCTGCCCTTTCCGCCCCTGCAGCCGGATCAACGTGGGCTCCCGGTTCCAAGCAGAAATCCCTTCGATGAGGGACCGCGCCTTGGCAGCCGCAGACTCCCACAAGGCCGACTTGGTGTGGCAGCCATGGGAGGACCTAGAGAGCAGCCAGGAGAAGCAGAGGCAAGGTGAGAGGGCAGGAGCCAGCAGGCAAAGCAGGCAAAGGCCAGCTATTGGGCAGTGGGCGGGCTAGGCTCCGCCCCATGCAGCCCAGCCCAGCCCAGCCCAGCCCTAAAAGTGCCTTTCTCTCCTCCCTCCCCAGTGGAAGACCTGCTGACAGCTGCCTGCTCCAGCATTTTCCCTGGAGCTGGCACCAACCAGGAGCTGGCCCTGCACTGTCTGCACGAGTCCAGGGGAGACATCCTGGTGAGACACTGCCCCTGGTGGAGGGAGGGCCCCTTGGGGAGGCTGGCAGGGATCCGTGTGTGTGTGTTGTCCAGGAGCCAGGCCTGTCGGCGAGCTGATCTGAGGCAGGCAGGAAGGTCTAACCAAGTTGGGGATGGTAGGGGGTCGGCCTGAGGGAGCCCTGGTTCCAAACTACAGACTTTGCTGTGCAAGGTCCGCCCCAGTCTCTGATCCTGGGTAGTGGGTCCCCACCCTCAGACAGGGCTGTCACTGAGGGCCTTCTCTATCTGTGGCTGCCTGCCTTGGGGACCGTGTGTTTCCTCTTTTAAGAGGCCCTGAGCAACCCAACCCCCATGCCCTTGCCATCCTGCCAGACCTCTTGCCCCCCCCGCAGTTAAGAGGGCCAAGAGTGGGTGCCCACCCTACTCAGAGGCCCGAATCTTGCCCACCAAGACCCCGGCCAGGGCCTTGACCTTTTCTTCACTTCCCTTTTAGGAAACGCTGAATAAGCTGCTACTGAAGAAGCCCCTGTGGCTCCACAACCACCCATTGGCAACTTATCACTACACAGGTGGGCTGGCAGGGTGGGCCTGGGGCCTGGGGCCTCGAGGGGTCTCCAGCATCAGTGGGGCTCAGTTCAGTGCTGAGTCACAGCCCAGGGTGGGGCGGGGGTGGAGAGGTGGGGGGCAGATAAGCCAAGATCCAGTGTGAGGGGACTGACACCAGAGCTGGGGTGGCTCTCAAGGAGCTTCCTGTGCCCTGCAAGGGAAGGGAGAAGGGCATAAGCAGGTGGGAGCCCATCCGGGTAGAAGAGCCCAGGGTGTGGGTATAAGGGGCAGGAACCCAGGGAGTGCCACCCAAATTGACATCAGGTGCTGGAACTTAGAGGACCCCTGGAGTGCCATGTCCCATTCTGGGGACTGTGCTTTAAGAGGGACGTTGACCAAATGGCATAATCATAGCAGTCCCTGGTATCGACCCCCGTCGAGTGGTGCATCCCATCTGTGCCAGGTATATCACCAAGGGCTCCACATGCATTGTCTCACTGAGTCTGTACCACAGCTGGTGAGGTGGCTTCTATTACTAGTTCCCATTTCACAAGTGGGGAAAGTGAGGCTCAGAGGCTAAGCGACATGGCTAGTAAGTGACAGAAGCAGGATGTGGAGCCAGCTCTGAATGCCTGCAGAGACAGCGGCTAGATGACCTCACACTTTTCTGCTGGTCAGAATTGCCCCTGCACTGCTCACAGTCCCACCCCCTCACTACCCTGGCTTCCTCTTTGCCCTGCAGGCTCCGACCAGTGGAAGATGGCTGAGAGAAAGCTGTTCAACAAGGGCATTGCCATCTACAAGAAGGATTTCTTCTTGGTGCAGAAGCTGGTGAGCTGGGGCTCTGTTTTGGGGGCAAGAGAGGGGCAGGAACTGCCTGCATGATTTGGGGGCTCCCTCTGCCAGTGGGGGGCGGCCCTGCAATTGCTTACCAAGGCCTCTTACAAAGCAGTTAGGTCAATGCCACTAAGTAGCTTCAGAGACATTTTTTCTTTTTCTTTCTTTCTTTTTTTTTTTTTAAATACATTTATTTATTTTTGGCTGCACTGGGTCTTCGTTGCTGCACGCAGGCTTTTTTTAGTTGCGGCGTGCGGGCTTCTCATTGCAGCGGCTTCTCGTTGCGGAGCACAAGCTCTACGCGCGCGGGCTTCAGTACTTGTGGCACATGGGCTCAGTAGCTGTGGCTCGCGGACTCTAGAGTGCAGGCTCAGTAGTTGTGGCACACGGGTTTAGCTGTTCCGCGGCATGTGGGATCTTCCCGGACCAGGGCTTGAACCCATGTCCCCTGCACTGGCAGGCGGATTCTTAACCACTGCGCCACCAGGGAAGTCCCCAGAGACATTTTTTTCTAAACAAAACAAGAATGGAAATGATCAGGCCTTTTCCCCCTTGGTTCTAAGCCCCTTCCCTCACCTTAGGCTAGGGTGGCCATACTCTGAAGTCTCAGTCCAGAGGGGAGCCTGAGTGGGCACCAGACCCAGTGGCACCAAATAAATAGTGACTTGCCTAAGGGAGAACAGGAAGAGAAGGGGGGCTGCAAGCAGAGGTGAGCCATCCTAAGGGGCTGGAGTACTTCAAAGGCCACAATTAGTGGGAGGAGAAGTCACCCCGAGATGAGGGGACCGAGAGCTAGCAAGTGACTATAACTGACCTAGGGGGCTTCTGCCCACTTCCTGTCAGGCCCGGGCCTTCCTTCCAGTAACTCAGCTGACAGAGTAGCGGAAGCCTGGGCCTAGTTTTCCTAGATTCTCTTGTCCTCCCCCTGTGTTCTTCTGGGAGAGTGATATGCTAATCCAAGGGCTTGCATCTCCCCACCAGCCCTGTCTCACAAAGCCTGGGCTATGGCGAGAGTGAGCTGTGTGGACAGCTGAGGGAAGAGCGCTTCCTAGAATGTGCTCTTTCCTCCTGGGATTGTAGGTTGTACCAGGAACGCCCTGGGGCCTGGACCAAGTGCTGACAAATTCTCCTACAAGGGCCCTGTTGTGAGGACAGTCGTTTGCTGGGCTCCCTGATTGGGCAATATTGCCCGGAAGTACATGCCTTGTGAAGCTCACTGAGGTGCCCCTAATGCCTTAATGAAAAGAGCAGACCATTAGTCAGGCTAACAGATGATCAGAGGGAATTAATAGTAAAAGTATAAACAGGATCTAGTTAATAAATTTGTGACTTGGCCATTCCTGGAAGATGAGTCATATCTGCTTCCTGCTCATGCACAGAGGGCCCTCACTGACCCCTTGGGCTCTGTGGACAGGACACCCCAGTTCCCAGTGCAGCCCAGCAGCTGGCTGAGCACTCTGGGAGTCTGGGGAGGTGGGGGAGAGTCAGAGAAAACAGCTTGGGGGTTGGGGGGAGGTAGTCCAGAAACCAAACCCAGTGGCCAAATGGATTTGTGAAACAGGAGGGCTAGGGTTTCAGAGCTTGGGAGGCCCTTGGGGATCATCTGGTCTCATCCCACTCACTACTTTCACACCAAGAGCCTTGCCTAAGGCCACACAGCCATTTAGTGGCAGAGTTAGAACAAGACTTAGCCTCCTGCTTCCTCTTCAGGCTTTCCAGGGCTTACGTGTTAGTCTCCCCTGAGTTCCTCCCCAACATAGGGCAGTTTGGCAATTCTCTGTCCTCACTGCTCCCTGAGGAGGAATGAAATTGTTTGCTCCGATTGATGTAGAGAGGCTGTGTTGCCAGGTCTAGTCTGGCTTTGAATGTGGATGGTGCCCAGGCTTTTTCCCCTTTAACTTTTCATTTTGAAAAATCTCAAGCTTACAGAAAAATGGAAAGAATAGTATAATGAACACCCATATACCTCTCAGATTTACCAGTTGTTAACATTTGCCACATTTGCTGTCTCTCTGTGCCCGTAAATAAACTCACACACAACAGGTATTCTCTGTTTTAACCAATCATTAAAAGTTACAGACATCCTGACATTTGACCTAAATATTTCCTAAAACAAAGATATTCTCCTACAAAACCAAAGTACCATTATCACACCCAAGAAATTTAAACTGACACAATAATGCTCTCTAATACATGATCCGTATTCAAATTTCCCCAATGGCTCCATGTTGTCCTTTTTAGCTTTTTTTAAAAAAAATAGTGCTGAAGTGTTGAATTGGTCAGTGGTTTGTGCAGAGCAGGTGTTGGAGACATGCTTGTATTTCCTGGGTTTATTGGGTTTAGTGTTTGCTAAGGTTAACGGAGGGGCATGCAGGGATAAGAAAGGCTGGAGTGCCCCCAGGCAGGTGAGCTGAACCAGGAACTCTGACCTCAGTTTTGGCTTCATACCAGATCCAAACCAAGACCGTGGCCCAGTGTGTGGAGTTCTACTACACCTACAAGAAGCAGGTGAAGATTGGCCGCAATGGGACGCTAACCTTCGGGGATATGGATACAAGTGATGAAAAGTCGGCCCAGGAAGAGTTTGAAGTGGATATTAAGGTGACTCCCTTCCCTGCCCCAGCTGCTTAGGCTGAGGTGGGAGCCTGAGGCCAAGCTCTCCAGGACTCCCTGGAGGGCAGAGAGAGGAAGGCAGTGTCCCTGACAGCCCCAGGGAGCTGATGTCCTGGACACTGGCCCTGGACCTTTGGGTTCCCCTCTCTATCTGCCAGTGTCATCGTAATAATGTATTGTGTTGATGCAGAACACTGGGGGAAATTTCCCACAGTATTTGCACCAGCATTGACTTATTGTCCCCTCGTAGCAGACCTCTGACACTGTTTCCTAAACTTTAGTCATTCTTATATCACCTTTACGAATTCTGCTCTATCTGCATCCTACCACATGTCACCATTACTACTTTTGTCATGTCCATACACCACTTGTGCTTTTAATATTTTTCTTTAAATCAACCCATTTTTTACTCAAGGGAAGCTTTAGATCACAATCATAAATTGAAAACCGGTGTTGCTTGCCATAGAAGGTACTGGTAAAAATAAATATATATGAAAAACAAACAATATTATTAAATTCTAGCCAGATACTATTACCTGCCGAGGCTCTGAGATGAGGCCTGACCTCTCCTTGTTAAGTCTAGAACAGTATAAAAGACACATTAATACCAACTCTAGACTTTGTCCTTGACATAATCAGGATTGAAAGAGAATTGCAAAGAGAACGTTATTCAATTCTGTGAAAAGAGAATGTTATTTAATTCTGTGTCCATGTATCCACCTAATATCATCTTGGGGTCACAAGTCCACACTTGGTGACATGCTGCTCTAAGACAGGGAGTGATTTAGTTCCCACTTGCAGATGGGAAGGGGGTAGAGATACAGAAAACATTACAAAGATAGCTTAGAATGGAGCTCAAGGCTGCTGCCTGGTTCCACCAGACCACCCTGCCCTAGAATGTGTCTCTTGGACACACCCAAGAGGACAGGTGGCCTGTGGGGAGGGACTGGCATGCTCCCTCCCTGCCCCAGCTCCATCTCAAGTGCTTGGTGTCATCCTGAGGGCTTCCAGGCCTCAAGGCTCTCTCTCATTTTACCGGCAGATTAGCGCTGGGAGAGTATAGAGTCTAGCACAGGAGGCCGCACTGGTCCAAGCCAGGCTAGCAGGACTAGCAAGGCCTAGTGAGCCCCTGGCCGGGTCAGAATCGGTGCATGTGGCTGCATCACTGAGCTGTAGGCTCACTGCCCTGCTCTTGTCCCCCATAGACTTCCCAGAAGTTCCCCAGGGTGCCTCCTCCTAGAAGAGAGTCCCCAAGTGAAGAGAGGCTAGAGCCTAAGAAGGAAGTAAAGGAGACCAGAAAGGAGGAGGAAGAGATGCCAGAGACCCAGGAGAAGGCGGAGCAGGAAGAGGGGCGAGAGCGAAGCCGGCGGGCAGCGGCTGTCAAAGCCACGCAGACACTACAGGCCAATGAGTCGGTAAGTGTGACCTCCACTGGGGGAGCCCAGGGCCAGGAGGACGGCTGGAGCCGGGCCTAGGGGTGTGGGAGGGAGGGCAGAGCAGGAACATGATGATGATCATGATCATCATCATGGCAGGAAAGCACTAGATAGTTTATGCTGTTAACTCATTTTATCCTCATAACTCCATGTAGTAGGTACTGTCATTATTCCCATTTTACAGAGAAGGAAATTGAGGTCCAAGATAAGACAGCTAGTAGGCAGCCTGACTTCAGAATCCGCTATTAATTTTACCCTATACTGCTTCTGTATCTGAGTCACAGAGGAAAAAGGCTTTGTGAAAACCCAGGTGTGTGGGACACTGGGGAAGCATTCCTGACTTACAGTTCAGACAGGGCTCCCCCTAAGAGAGCCGTGTCCCTGACAAGAATTCTGAAACTGAGATGAGACAGTGGGAATAACAACAGTGGCACCTCACGCGTGTTGTCTGCGAAGTGCTTTCCTGTTCATTATCTCATTTCATCCCTTGCGATAACCCCATAAAGTGTTAGCCCTCACCTTGCTGATGGAGGAAGCTGGGTTCAGAGATGCTAAGTGACTTGCCTGAGGTCCCACCCCAGGTCTTCCTAGTGCAGTGTTCTGTCCACCACATCACAGGCCAAGAAGCAAGACATACCAGCCAGAGCTGTTCCCCCAAGAGAGAGAGGGCTGGGTAGGGTCTGCTGCGGAGCTACTATGAGAGTCTTTGTTTGTTTGTTTAATTTGTGTTGTACACTTAAACTTGCAGGAAAACCCTCACAAACTGTAGACACACAGCTGTTTGCTCCCTTCTGAGCCTTGTCTGTGCTCCTTCTCCAAGAGCTGTGCTCAGTGTACACACGCCACTGAGTTCTGCTGAACTTTTATGAATGCTTTCCTGTGTGGTTTGATCCAGTGCACACGTGTGTGACTCCTAATGGCCATGTGGGGTTCCCCTAACCCGAGGTCCATGGTTCGCATACCTTGAGCAGCACCTCTCCAGGTCTGCACCAGGTGTCCTGTGCTCTCTGGCACCTGCTTGGCGTTTCCCATGGTGGCTCATGTTGTCAGGAGCTAACTGCCTGCATGTCTGTCCCTTCAGACTGTGAGTTCTCTGATGGCAGGGGCTCCTGTCACCTCTGTATCCCCTGTGTAACCTGGCATGTTACACAGATTTGAAGGTCATTTATGGAATGAAGTCATGAATAGACTAAATGACTGAAAACATGAACCCATGTCATTAACAGAGACACCAAGACCCCTGTCAGATGCATCAGGAAGTCCTATAGCAGCTAGGGCTGTCCCACGTAATTACGGTACCAGCAGTTTGTGAAAACAGCTGTGAGTGCCTTGTCACTGGAAAGATTCAAGAGGATGCTAGGGGACCATTTGGAATGAATGTATGATCTTTAAAAGCCCTCTGTTCGCTGATATTCCATAATTCGGGATCCTCTCTTCCCCAAATCTCTTAGCTCTCCTTGTTTGACCCTCTCCAGGCCAATGACATCCTCATCCTCCGAAGCCACGAATCCAATGCCCCTGGATCTGCAGGTGGCCAGGCCTCAGAGAAGCCAAGGGAGGGGCCAGGGAAGTCACGTAGGGCACTTCCTTTTTCGGAGAAGAAGAAAAAACCAGAGCCATTTAATAAGAGCCAGAATCAGGAGAATACTTTTCCGTGTAAAAAATGTGGCAGGTAAGAAGGCAGACCCAGTCTCCACTGGGACCTGGTAGGTTGGCTGCGGTTGGGGGAGGGGCAGACGTCGATTCCTGGGGAGAAGTAGGAGGAGTCACAGCTTTCGCCCTGTCTCCTGATTGGCTCAGAGGGTTTCCCCGGGCAGTGACGTCCCTTGGCAGCTTTTAGAAGAGGGTTGATGGCACTGAATCGGGAGCCTATCGGTCCCCTTGTTGGAGGGTGGGGCTAGACCACGTGGCGCGGAGCAAGCCAGAAGGGCCGGGGAGCCCCCGTAACACGCACGCACGCACGCAGGTGCTCTAGCCTGGAGGTCCCAGGGGTGGAGACAGACCTCTTACTGGAGCCCCTCCTTCCCGGCTACAGGGTGTTTTACAAGGTGAAGAGCCGCAGCGCTCACATGAAGAGCCACGCCGAGCAGGAGAAGAAGGCGGCCGCTCTGAGGCAGAAGGAGAAAGAGGCCGCGGCCGCTGCGGCCACTGCGGCCGCCTCCCCACACCAGCCGGCCCTGAGGGAGGAGAGCAGCGCGGGCGAGAGGGGCTGACGCCCGGGGGCTCCGGGCCCTGCTCCAGCCTGAGACGCTCTGCCAGCACTGGAACGTCCGGAGGGAGAGATCACGTGGACTTGTCTCTGCAAAACGGATACAATTAAATAAACGGCTCTTTTACTTATACAGGGCCCAGGAGCAGTGTTAAGGGCTGCAGGATCCAGTTCTCTTGCATTTGGTCTGTCGCAAGTTTCCCTCCTGCTTTCCTGGGACTGGGAGAGTCCCTGCTCGCTGGGGCTGCCCCTGGGGAGGGGCTCCCGCGCTGCCGCAGCTGCCTCTCACGTGGACCTCTGCCGCCACGCCACGAGGTCGCTTCTCTCCCTCTTTGTTTCCCTTGCTCCCTTAGGTCACCATGGAGAGACAAGCACAAGCGCGCCCCCTTGGCAGCATTAATCCCCCGCCCCAGGGGACCTGTACAGGCCCTGCCCCAAGCCCCGGAAAGAGGGACTCCGTGGGAAGGAGTGTGGTAGCCATCTCCGAGAGGGAGCTCAGCCTGGCATCTGTGCTGTCTCCTGTGAGGCAGTGTCCAGGCCATGCTGCTCCAGTGACTATGTCCTCAGAGAGGCCACGTCCTCCGTGGGAGGGAGGCTGCCAGAACAGGTGCAGGGAGAGAGACCAGGACTGGTGCCTATCCCTTTGCTGCTCGCTAGCAGCTTGCTGGGGCTGGAAAGTTTTCTCAGATGTATTGGGAAGGAGCCAATGTTCTTTGCAAGCTCTCAGCCTGCTGAAGGGAAGGAAACTGTGCAGAGGAAGGAAGCTGCAGGGCTGCTACAGGGCTAGGCCTGAGGGAGCTTTTGATAAGCCTTGGCTTTTCCTGCTTCCCACCTTTTTGCCAAATACCTTTGGGCCCTGGAGGCTGCTAAGGGAGCACAACCTAGGCCCAGCTTGCTCCTCCTTGGTGCAAGTTTCTTGCCTGCCTCTGTCCTGCCCTTGGCAGCTGCCACCTAACCCCACCCCACCTGGTCTAGTGCTGATATCCATAGCTCAGCCCTCAATCCTGCATGCTGGAGATTTCTGGATCCTTCCCTGGGAGGGGGAGGTCTCCTAGCCAGATGAGACAGGAGCCTTCATTCCTTGACTTGTGTCATTTGGGAGCTATTTATTTATTCTTAATATTTAATTTTTAACATCCTCTCAGGGACCAGGGGATTCCTCCTTTCCAGAGGCCCAAGTGCATTTATCCCAAAACAAGGCACCTTCTTGGCACCACCCTCCCGCCCGACATTTCCAAGACCCTAAAGTCCCTCGTTCTGCCAACAGGAATGATAGTAGCACTGAAAGAGGGTGGAAAGGTGGAAGATGTCACAAAGGCACACGGAGACTAGCAGGATCAAGGGAGATCAAAGGCAGTTATTGTTGCTACCTCTTCTTTGGCTTACTTTCAAGTAGCTTGAGGGGATTGGCTGGAAGCCAGATTCTGGTTTTGTTTCTGGCTTGAAGAAGCCATATTTGGTGTGGAGTCACTGAAGTGGAAGGGCTGGAAGATTCTGGAGGTCCCTTCACTTGCCAGTCCCGTAGGGGGGCTGAGTTATTTTTCTGATCTTGCTATTCAACTTTAGTTGTGTAAAAGAAGTTCTAAGTGAATCCATGTTAGGAAGGAGCCAAAAAGTATTCATTCTGCTACTCTTCTGAGATAGCCTAAAGGCGTCGTATTGGTAGCTGGGAGTGGGGAGGGAGTTTTGTTTCCAAACTATGCACTATCAGGTATGTATTAGCATTCATTTTGCATAAATATGGTTATACATGAGCCCAGCTATGGGAATTAACAAAATTCTCCCCCCTCCCCAACTTCTGATGGCTACCTAGACCTCTAACTTCCCAGTTAGTTTCTTCCATAGGCTTTTTTACAAGCTCAACGGCCCAAGACTGCAAAAATCTGGTATACCTTCCAAAAACAGGAAGGTAGCAAATTTAGGCTCTCTTCTAAATCACATATGTGATATGAGTGCCTTCACAGCTTTGCCCCAAAGTGCTACTTAAGTTTCCCAAGGTTTTTTCTATTTAAACCGTATTTAGTTTCAGGCTTCTTTTTTGGACATGTGGTAACAGAAACCTCCTTCGTCCACAGTGATTCTCCTCTTCTAAGCTCATGGAGACCAGACCAGGTGAATATAGGTGGAGAAAATCAAGATGGTACCTCTCTGTATTAACCCCACCCAACACCGTATTTTAGAAGGGTTTATGCTCCAGAATGGATTTATATCTAGAATGCAGTGTAAAAGGTAAAATGTTTAGAGGGCAGATGCAATTGTGGCAAGTGACCTGCCAGTAAAGTAGGTGCACCCATAGAAGCTGGCATAGGTATATCCCTTATGGTGCTTTCTCCCTGTGAACCATTAGGCTACTTTGTTTTTTCTTTTTTCTTATATTCAGAGTTCTTTGCTTTAAGAAGTTAAATGACAAACACCTTCAGCTTTATAATGTCCTCCCCACACCATCTCACATATCCATCTCTCAGCCTCCATCTACACTCAGCTAAGGGCATGAAACTAACCTAGTGCCTCTGTTCTAGACCGTTTCTGAGGTCTCTTACCCACCCACGGAGACAGTGCTGAAGCACTGTCCTCCATGCCTTCAGCAGCCCCCCTCACAACTAAGGTACACACCCATCCCTTCTGCTACCCCACTTCCACCCCTGGCACAGAGGTCGTGTGCTGCTTACGTCTAAAGGGATCCCCTATATTTAACTGCCTTAGTGACCTAACCTCTTTCTTCTCATGTGCCAGATGTTAAGATGAAGGAGGAGTACAACACATACTCAAGCCTCAGCTATTTAAGTATGTTTTTACTGGGGCTCACTTTTCTGGGACGGTATTTATTACCAGACTGGCAAGCCTAACTCCTTAGGTTTATAGGAAGTATGCATATTTTTATAAAACAATTGTATGTCCTCCCCATATTTTTGCTGTGTTAATGTTTGCCTCTCACAATTTGCAGCTGTTTCACCTTTTCATTTGTCTCTCAGTCGAAGGCCTTGTTGGAGGGGACAGAGCACAGGAATAGCCTTGACAGTCTGTAATTATTGTACAAATATTTTAATAGCATATAAATAAGTATATTCCTTTTATTTTGAAAAATATCAGACACTGCCTTTTGTGTGTTTGCTGCCTGTGGCACCCTTTTTTAAAAGACTGTTACATATTAAAATAGTGTACATATATATAAATATGACCTCTTTTGCTGTACAGTTGTGATAGACCAGACTGAAGATTTTATTTTTTGTGTGCTTTTTATAAAAAAAATTAACACACTAAAGAAAATCTTGCTGATGTGATTGTAATGTACCTATGTAACTTATTTACTTTTGAATGTTCTTCTGTATCTTTAAACCTTTTATTAAATAAGGTTTTAAAAATTCAGAGTTGAATGCTGTGTCCTTCTGGGGAGATTTTCACCATCTGGGATTGACGTAAATAGGCCTTGGTTTGCTTGCAAGGGATTACTTGACGTTTTTGAACCGTAAGGATTCTGTTTTATCAGCTCACTGTCAATGATGCCAGGACAAGGGAAATAACACATTAGCGTTTGCCTGGCTACAAAGGTTACTAAATAGATCTAGATATTCTTACAAAATTTTAGACAAGAAAAAGTCTCAACTCAGTGTCTCACACAAACACACGGCACACTTACAACGTTTTAGTTTCATTGGGATGAAATTCGCGGAGGTTGCAGAGTGCGATCAGATGGTATAGGGTATTTTCTTATACAGCATTGACTTGAACGAGCGACGTGAGTAGACAATCTTCCTTGACGGACGCATATCATCTTAAATCCACTCCAGTATTATATTATCATCTTTTAAATACAGTGCTTTGTGAGAAAAAAAAAAAATCTGGAAAATGTGAAAAAGGAAACGCGCCGTCAGAGAAATTAATGCCCGGAGCCCCTTGCTGGCACCAAGGCAATCGCTCGCCTCTGCGGGCCGCGGGAGCACTCGGGTCGCCAGTCTTCTGGGCCGCCGTTGCCGTGGCTACGCTTGCGCAGGCTCGGCCGCGGGGGCGGGGCGGGGCGAAAGCCGCTTGCCGGCCGGCCCCGCCTTCCACTGCGGCCGTAAAGCCTCGGCTGGCTGCGGGTCTGACCAGCCGGAAGGCGCGCTGCGCCCTCCCGCCTCAACCTGCAGCAGCCCGGGCGCGCAGTCGCCGCGGCCTGCCTTCGTCTGCGCCGTTTCCTGCCTTGCTTCCGCATCCTACCCGCGCCTCCGCCGCCTGTGTTCTGGGTCCCCGGCTGTCCTCGCAGCCCAGACGGGCACCTGCGCCAACGAAGGAGCCTCTCTCGGGCTGGTCCCGCTGCCGCCGCTGCGACCTCGGAATAGTCTCTTCCTCCGGGGGCGGCACAGTTCTCGTCTGCAGAGAAGCGGCTTCTCGCGCGCCTGAAGGCCCGGCTCCGACCGCGAAAGCGCGGTTGACGCCGGGAGCAGCCGCGAGTGTCTGGCGCCCGGGCTGAGAACAGAAGACCACGCCCCGCGATTACACCCCGGCGGCCTCTAGAGCCCGGCGGCTCCTGCCTTCGCCGCCCGCCCTCACTCCTCGCCTCTAAGCTGCGACGCGACACCCTGCCTGCAGGTGGAGGACCCGGCCCGCGGACCCCGACCAGAGACGCAAGATGGCGGTGGCCGCGTAACTGAGCATCCCGCAGGCTTCGCTCCGAGAACGCGGAGGACTGACACTGGGGGGCAGCGAAAGGACGAGAGCAGGACTCTGGTGTCGTTTGTTAATCGTGGTTGCGTGAAGCTTGACTCCTCGGGCATATTGCGGGGGAGTGTCTGCTGTTGTCCTAAGTCCTAGAGCACAGGGAACCACAGTAACCCGTATTTTGTAAAATTGGGGCCCTTGATAGTTGGCAAAATGGCGATGACACTGTTGGAAGACTGGTGTAGGGGGATGGATGTGAACTCCCAGAGAGCCCTGCTGGTCTGGGGGATCCCAGTGAACTGTGACGAGGCTGAAATCGAAGAGACCCTCCAGGCTGCGATGCCCCAGGTGCCCTATCGAGTGCTTGGGAGAATGTTCTGGAGGGAAGAGAATGCCAAAGCAGCCTTGTTAGAGCTCACTGGTGCTGTCGATTACACCGCGATCCCCAGGGAGATGCCAGGTAAAGGAGGGGTGTGGAAAGTGGTCTTTAAGCCCCCGACTTCCGATGCTGAATTTCTAGAAAGGTTGCACCTCTTCCTAGCAAGAGAGGGGTGGACCGTGCAGGATGTTGCCCGTGTCCTTGGGTTTCAGAACCCCACTCCGGCCCCAAGCCCAGATATGCCAGCAGAGATGCTAAACTATATTTTGGATAATGTTATTCAGCCTCTTGTTGAGTCCATATGGTACAAGAAGCTGACACTCTTCTCCGGGAGGGACATCCTGGGGCCTGGAGAGGAGACATTTGATCCCTGGCTGGAGCACACTAATGAGGTCATAGAGGAGTGGCAGGTGTCAGATGTGGAAAAGAGGCGGCGGTTGATGGAGAGTCTTAGAGGCCCTGCTGCTGATGTCATACGCATCCTCAAGATCAGCAACCCTGCGATTACCACCGCCGAATGCCTGAAGGCGCTTGAGCAAGTGTTTGGGAGCGTGGAGAGCTCTAGGGATGCGCAGGTCAGATTTCTGAACACTTACCAGAACCCGGGAGAAAAGTTATCTGCTTATGTCATTCGTCTGGAGCCTCTGCTGCAGAAGGTGGTGGAGAAGGGGGCCATAGATAAAGATAACGTGAATCAAGCCCGCCTGGAGCAGGTCATTGCCGGGGCCAACCACAGCGGGGCCATCCGGAGGCAGCTGTGGCTGACCGGGATTGCGGAAGGGCCAGCCCCAAACCTCTTCCAGTTGCTGGTGCAGATCCGCGAGGAGGAGGCCAAGGAAGAGGAGGAGGAGGCTGAGGCTGCCCTCCTGCAGTTAGGCCTGGAGGGGCACTTCTGAGTCCCCAGAAAAGGGGCTTTAGTGCAGACCTAGATCACAGCTGCTTTCGTTCTTTGTCTCTGTGCTGTCTTACAGGTGTGTCTCCTAGTAGTAAAGACTTAGCCATGTTGTTTGGGGGGGGGGGGG